TCCGAACCCGGGCCGCCAGCATCAGAGCGCGTGCACTTAACCGCTAAGCCATGGAGCCGGCCCATAAAGTTTTTAGTTTTGATGAAGTCCAATTTACCAATCCTTTTTTCTCTCTGTTTTTTAGATGGGATAATTTTTATTCATCTGTCTTCAAGTTCACCAACCCTTTTTTCTGTCATTTCCAATCTCTAGTTAAGTGCATCCAGTGAATTTTTTATTTCAAATGTTGTACTTTTCATGTCTAGAATTTCTGTTTGGTTCTTTTTTGCAGTTTTTGCTTCTTTGCTGAGATTTCCCCTTCTGTCACTTATTATCACCATCTTTATCTTTAATTTCTTGAACATATTTATAATAGTTGCTTTAAAGTTCCTGTATGCTCATTCTAACGTCTGGGCCGTCTGGCAGTGGGTTTCTATTGATTGCTTTTTCTCTTAACTGTGTGTCACTTTTTTGTGTTACTTCTCAGGTCTAGTTATTTTTGATTGTATACTGAACAATGTGGATGCTACTGTCTAAACATTCTAGATTCTATTATCTTCCTCTGAGTGTAGGTTTTTGTTCTAGTATGCTGTTTAATTTCTGGCTGATCACCTTGAAGATATTTGATTTTATACATTTTTTTTAGGGTGGATTTGTTTGGATTTTGTCCTTAGTCTAAGTTGTCCTATGTTCTGGGGCATAGGCTTAACTCCTCTAGTTTATGGTCCTTCCACAGTTTCAATGGAAAGTCCATGGTCACACCTCTAACTTGGCAGGACTCCAACTCCAAACTCTGTCTCCCTGTGGTGGACAGCAGTCAGACTATCTGCTTAGCTCTTTCAGCCTTCCAGCTGCGGCTTTCCACTGGTCTCCTTGTAGTAGTCCCTTCACATGTGTGTAGTTCAGAGTCAGCAATGAGTTTGAGAGTTTGTACTCAGGTTTTGTGGCTCCATCCTTTTTTGGTATTTCTCTCCTTTCTTTCCAGCTGCTTTGGCAGTTCCTAACCGTTTTCTGATATCTTAAGAAAAAAAAAACAACGGATGTTCAGTCTAAGTTCAGACTGCCTTGTGCCTCTAGGACCGCTGAGTGCCTTCAGGGGAGAGTTGTATAAACATGGATCATACCCAGTGCTAGTCCCTTCTTTCAAGGGTAGATTTTCCTTCACTTTCTACCAACTTTGGTTGCTCTCCAGTGCCTTTAAATAATTCTTTAATATTTTTTTCCAGAGTTCCTAATTTTTTTCTATAGGAAAGTTAGTCTGATGTAAGCTATACCACTATCCCTGGAACTGATATTCTCTTTTTTTTTTTTTATTATTTTAAATTTTGGTAAAGTACACATAATGTAAAATTTACTATCTTAATCATTTTTAAGTCTACAGTTCAGTAGTGTTGAGGACATTTTTATTGTTGTACAAAGTCTCTAGACTTTTCATTTTGCAAAATTGAATGTCTGTGCCTGTTAAACAGCACCCACTCTCCCCTTCCTCCAGCCCCTGGTAACCACCATTCTACTTTCTGTCTCTATGAATTTGACTGTAGGTACCTCACATAAGTGGAATCATACAGTATTTGTCCTTTTGTGTTTAGCTTATTTAGTTAGTATAATGCCCTCAAGGTTCATCCATGTAGCATGTGTCAGAATTTCTTTTCTTTTTAAGGCTGATTAATATTCTGTTTTTTGTATATACCACATTTTGTTTATCCATTCATCCATCAGTGGACGCTTGGGTTGCTTCTATGTTTTGGCTATTGTAAATAATGCTGGTATGAACGTGGATGTCTCTTTAATTTTTTAAGATTTTGAAGTTTTTCTGCACTTAGACATCACATGTTTATCAAGCATGGACCAATTTGTTTCAAAAATATTTATGAAAAAAAGACAGGATAAAAGCTGAGGCCTACTTGACAAAAAACAGAAAAAACAAAAAAACAAAAACCATATCATCCTCAGGTTAATTTCTTTTTTTTTTTTTTTAAAGATTTTATTTATTTTATTTTTCCCCCCAAAGCCCCAGTGGATAGTTGTGTGTCGTAGCTGCACATCCTTCTAGTTGCTGTATGTGGGACTCGGCCTCAGGATGAACGGAGAAGTGGTGCCTCGATGCACACCCGGGATCCGAACCCGGGCCACCAGCATCGCAGCGCGCGCACTTAACCACCAAGCCACGGGGCCGGCCCATCAGGTTAATTTCTGTGCAATAATTTATTTCGAAAGGAAAATATTATCCAGAGCCTTTGGGTTAGAGATTTAGTTAATTACACTTTGGTGCAGTAATTTTTTTCTTTTTTTTTTTTTAACCATATACTCAATGTTTACAATTTCCTGTCCTTTGTTTTAAGCAAAGTGATGTCCAAGGAGGTTGAACATTATATCATCTACCAAAAGGAGAGCTAGAGGCTGCTATGAATTTGGTTATTGGGAGAGAAATGGATGCGTTTCACAGTAGTTGTTAAAAACAGCAACAGAC